AAATAAAAACCTATTCCCTGCTTGTCTGGTTTCTTCTGTCAATAGCACGACGGTTACCCAAAGCCACGAAATGTTTTCAGACAGTCTGACTAGAAAGATAGAGGACAAAAATATCAGCGAAATTCGAGGAACAGTCTAAATATCTGGAGGCGAGGTGTCTGAGCCAAATGATAGAGGTCTAAATTTTGTGTGGTGGCTGGTAAGTGATAATTCGAAGGAGCATATCGAGTTTCAGATGGCCTTGCATCCCTCTGAGGTCATGTCCTCTCCGTTTTGTGAGAACTTTGCTAGGAATAAGACAACTCGAAGATTCTCAGATGGTTGTGACTTTCATCGCGGACGACAGCAAGAAATATTTGAATGTGACCGTTTAATATCATTTTACACCCGTAGAGAGCTGAAAGAATGGTTATCACAATAAATGAATGATCATTTAACGGAGGTTTCATTTCGAAGGAATGGATAATTATATTGGAGGGATTGAAGGTTGCTTTGACTGATATATGTAGAGAAGAGACTTCCGTTGGCACTCCAGCGAGTTATAACACCACTTATAGAACTGTAAGCTTTGAATAAGACGTCGAACCAGATGTATTTAAGTTTTGCTTTAATTTGTAGGAGGATCCTCTGAGTGTATGAGGGATACTATCTGTCGTCTCCTTTTTGCTTGAACTTATGGGTTTCATCGGTTCAAAATGCCCCACTTCTAAGTTCATCTCACAAAGGCTATACAAAGCTCATAAATGTTGGGATAGACAGCTCATCGGGACATGAGTAGGTAGGTCACGTCGCTGTCTCGTGGGACTAAATGAGTCGACGAACTCGGAGAGGAGGCAGAACTACATTTATTCATTGCTGAGCCGGAGATTGGTTGCAGACATCGTTGATCAAGCAACTGCCCACAGTTTTGTTACATAGTAAATCAAGAATAGCTGCAACCGAATAAATCACTGTGCTGGAACTGAAAATGATTGCAGCGGTATTAAACGTGGGGATAAGCTCCAGATAGAGTTTCCCTAATTTTTTATATAAAGTGAATTTTTTTGCAACTAGTATTGTATTACATTATTAATGCTGATACTTGGCACCCAACTTTTATAGCCAATCTCCATGAAGTCTAGTGTCATCAAGTAAGTGCAGATAAAAACAATTTCCGAACACATAGGTATTGTTTCTATTAAGTTGTCGCGAATATCGTAATAACTTTTAGTGCCACTTAAAAATAAGAAATTCTAGTACCCCATATCTGATACCAGTTAGATGGTTTCTGATTGTTTTTGAAATATACATGTCAGCAATACTCGCATATAGTTAGCAACTTAACTCATATCAAATAAAAGAATGGGTTTTTGAATACTTATATTTCGTAAAATTGCTGATCGGAAAGCAGAGCATCGCAAAATGACGCACAATGGAAGCGACGAGTAAGCCAACTCAATTTAGCTGAACGTGAATCGGTATTAATACTTGGACAAAAATAAGTTACAGAACTGTGATGAATGGGATAAGAAGTCCAAACACATACGCTCATATGAAACAGTCAAGGTCGATAGGCGAATAGCCAACAGGGTCATGGTGTGTTTCAAGAAGAATGGGTAAACTGGTCTGTTTAAAAGCTAGAACAAGCTGTGTGGACTCAACATAGCAATTGACACTAAAAAATCATAGATAAGTGCAGTTAGTTATGGGGAACCCGAACTTTCCAGCTAGCCGTGATTTTAGGTTTCGTAGGAACACTTGAAAAATGGTAAAGAATTCAGTTTCTCTTCTATATATTTGGTTTTGCTGGCTAAATGATGAAGCGATTCTATGGCTTTCAGGTCATCAGACAAGGCTCGTGATAGGAGACAACATTATCATTTTCAATTTTATCTTAGTTGTTACTATATGGAAAAATAGAGCGGTGTTACTTTCAGATGGAGATTTGTAACACTTAGAGATGGGGTCAATACTGACTGTATATGTTGCTTCAAGGTTATCCATACTTTTTCAGTGTTCAATATGTATGGGATATCAAGGGTTTGAGAATGTCTTCCTGTCCATCTAGTGAGTGAGCGATGCACATAGGAACATCGGTCTTACTACGTAGATCTTCTTTTTCATGTCTTCTAGCGAATTTCACCTTATATAATAAAGCAGGTAAAGCAAAATTTGTAAGCTAAAATTAGGTCTCTAATAAAGGTTATTCTCGTATGTGCAGTACTCACTAGTTAAAGGAGCTTAAAAATGCCCTTAAAATCTTTACTTCGCACATATATTGAACAGGTAAAACTGTTTATACTACAGTTTGTTGGACACATGTCCTACCACATGGGCAGCCAATACATTGTAGGAATACGTTTACACTCATAAGAAGATAATGGAGTTCATTAGACGGTATGCTTATGCTTTTGAGAAACTAATTTGATCAAAATATTGAGCGGTGATAATTAAACGGTGGATATTATTGACGAGTATCGTGAAAAGTCAGGTTTTGAGAGAATACTGCATCATGCATGTAGTTATTTTACTACTGCATCGCAAGACTTTCTGCATGTAGTGCGCTGTTTACGAAAACAGAAGACCATACACAACGTATAGTTGGTATATTTATGTGAAATTGTCCACCAGATTATAGAATGTGATTGCCGTAAATATTAAACAACTATACCAGCTTTTCACAAAGCAATTATCCGATCGATATGCGAATATCGTAAGGAATTTAGACTTGTCAGTAGTTGACGGAAGTTACAAGGTAAAAGTCGTGGGTAGCTCACCAGGTTTAACAGAGCGGTTCTGAAAAAAGAAGCCAGGAATATAACAAGGAATTAAAGCTTGTGGTACATTTTAGATCCTATAATAAAAGTTATTCTATCTTGTCTGGATAGACCACGGACAGATTCGTTCAAAAGATAATATTTGGTCGCTTTATAACACAGTGTTTCCAATTCTGGAAGAGTGCCTCAATTCACAACCAAAAATGCACAGTTCCAGTCAACACAGGTAAAGGAATCAAAAGGAGGAACAAACTAATATGGCTGCCGCCAAGACTAAGTATAAAGTAAAACAACACAAGCGCAGTTCGGGAAGAAACATGGAGACTTAGTGAAGGCGTAATAAAAATAAAAACTATAATAAAATACAAATATTAACAATTCAAATGCGATCAAAAAGTTAACAATGCACAACTAAGGGGATCAATAGGTACAAAGTGCAAGTATATACATGGAGGGATTTTCACACACACATAAAACATTCAAAACAGAGCTTACAGGTCATGACTAGTTGTTTGAAAAGTAATGAGCAAACGTTCTCATAAAAGGCTGACTCTCTTCTAATCAAAATGCTGATCATACGGTAATTAGCAATAATTGGCCTAAATGTGGCTATTAAGAATCATAAAAGTAATTTTCGGCAAAGGATGTTCTGATCCACAAACTTCAGATAATCCTAAGTAGTTTGGAGAAACCTGAAGGACAGACTTTATAATAAAAAAATTGGTACTCAGTTCATAAAAGTAAGTTAATTACTAGTGAGCATAGATAAAATGTTGCTATCCATATATCGTCCTAGATAGCTATTCATATTTCAACCAGTAGTTAGAAATTTTATCTGAAAGAACCTTACAACGAAATGGCCAATTAACATCTTCATCAAGTATCATTTTCCCTAATTGAAACTTTGCCAGTATAATAGTTAATTAGACGGTTGATTCGCTGTTTAAAATAAGTCTCGAGCAAACTTTGTGCTGAAATGTAGAGGAACCTTAGGGAGAATCAAGGTGATATTCTTTGTAGAAATTTGATGAAAATTCAAGCAATAATCCTCTGAAACGTTGTGATAATTTTGCCTGTGTTTCGCTTGGAGAGACATGCCTGGCAGTCCATGATTAATTTATGCAAGATAGTTTACCCCTAACAAATATTTAAGACAAATAGTCTTTCAGATCTGATGAACGGCTGGTGTTTTGTCGAAGGAAAATAACGAAATTTCTTTGAGAACGCTGTTTCTATCTGATTTTCAGAAACTGAACGCGACTGAAGAAAGCTGTGCTTGCGATAAATTGTTTTTACAGAGGACCCGAACATAATTGGATATACTAACAACGAGTCTTTTAATAATTAAACACCAACATTAGGTAGCAAAAACGTCTGTAAAGTCAAAATCTGAACATAGATTGTAAATAGTTCGACGAGTCTTTCGAAACTTCTATGGAAACCGTCAAAGAAATATAACCTTCCAACTGACGGAGTTTTCGAGCTACCAGAGAATAATCAAGTGCCGTTATGCTTTAAATATTCTGAATTTTGCACATTACTTTACCAAATGATTTATTTCTCGTCTAAGCGTCTCCGGCGTTCTCTTCTATTTTCTCGCGTAAAATTTGGTCTGTATGAGCTAGAAAATTGATCTAGAAGCAAAACGTCAATTACAGTTTGCAAAGACATTACCAATATTAGGTTCCCAGTGACACATTTTCATTGTAACTGACATGTATGTCAGGCCCATGATGAAACCTGCAAGGAAATGGAAGTAAGCAACTTAGATGACGCTTAATGGACCCAAATAGTTACTAAGAGCGCCTAGTTAAAAGAATGGTGCTTAGTACGAAGTTTTTCCAACTACGTCTCACTAGCTTTAAATACCTGGGTGTGACTATAGTCCGATATTCATATGTACCATGTTCAATTTCTCACCTAATTACTGACGAATAACGCAGGAAGTTCGATTGGTTTTGGGTCCATTACAATGGTAATTTCACCTCGACATCCATGGAATCGCTACTAATACATTCGGACGTCCGCTTTAAGTATCATACAGGAATACATCATTGGGGACGAGAGGACTGTTGACTAAGGAACATGCAGCACCCGAATCTAGCGAAATTGTAACTAGGTGGTTAAATAAATCACCACATAATATTTGGGCGAACGGTCTATCATCATCACACGAAATCCACAGAAATGGAGCAATCGACATTGAATGTCTCCTTGATATACCCGCTCTCTTTGTGCACAATTGAGTAGAGGCGGTAATATGGTTCTTTTGAATGACTATTGTGGGAACTGCCTATATCACTCAGACAATTGTAGAAATGATCATTTAAGTATTTTTTTAGCAATAAAAACATTCCCTTTCGTGAACAAAATCGTCTCGTGGGGAGTATTTCAATCTAGGTTTTCACAAAACTACGTTATATAACGTAGTTTTGTAAAAGGCATGTATTGCTTCGACCTAAGTCTTCAGTACGCGCACAGATTATCAAACTGGTTTCAGTTTTTAAACTTGCGAAATCGTTGTATACAGCAAACTCAGTATACTGAGATTTATTTATTTTATGATCCGCTTTTCGAACGGAGAGTTTAGTCCTAACGTGATTTGCATTTATCAAACTTTTGCTGTGTTCTTACGCAACAAAAGTACCATTTCAGTTCTAAAGAATCTATCCTGAGCTATACGTTCGGTAGATTACTTTTTTGAGTTTCACCATATTTAATAGTTACCTGTGGTTTTGCCTCAGCTTACTATTCGGTTTTTTTTGTTTTTCACGTATAGACTAGTTTCAGTTTATATCACTCGTTTTATCCATTTTTGTCCGTTTTCAGTGTGCTTTTTAGTGTTTTTTAAAGGTCTTAGGCTTTTGCAAGCATCTATAACATAGTTTGCTTCAACACAGTCATGAAAAACTCATGCAAACGTCCGGGATGCCGTTTTGCTGTTACAACTGGCATGCAGTGCGACAACTGCAAAGGTTGGTTCCACGAAGCATGCACAGATCTGACAGCAACTGCTTACAACAGACTCAGCAAGTCAGACCAAAAGTGGGTATGTGTCACGTGCAGCACGGACGCTGTAGTCTTGCTGAGTAACATCATTGTCCTACTGACAGGTCTTCGGAACAAGTTGTCAGTTAACTTGGATAACGATAGTAAAAAAACCGGTAGACAAACAAGAGCGTGCGACGGATTCAAAAATAGGGATGTCGACAGGTATACCATCGATGGAGCATCCATCAACACTAATGATGACGTGTCGAGGCTCAGCACCATCATTACGTCGACGGTACTAGACTCCCTAAGCAAACTCGGGTCTCCCAGCTCAGGGTCCCTGAACACAACAGTGGTTCCCAAAAACCCTGTAGGTGATTCGACCCACGTTAAGAGAGCCCAAAAGAACCAGGCATCACCGCCTAAGCCGAGCAACCCAAGTGTTGCTGCACGGAAAATAACTGGTGATTTGGTCGCACAGTCTACCCCCAAGACTGTTCGTCCGGTCAATAAAGAGCCCAAGATTCAAAAACGCACACTGACCTCCAAACAACAAGTTATTAAACCTGAACCCATCGTGAAACCTGGTAAATTAACAACAGTTCGTGACGATTCTCTCATTATCATGAACCTCGTTGACAATCCTGACCTTCCTCTCAGTCTGCAGGACAAAAACGACAGGATGCTCTGGGGTGAATTGAACAAGAAGCTCGAACTTCCTAGAATAGAGCCTTTGACGGTCACCCGGCTCACTCGAGGAAAGGATTCTAAGCATCTAAATCACCCGAGGCTTCTCCGAGTAACACTTAAGAATGCTACCGACGTAGAGGACGTCTTGCTAGCAAGTCACTTGCTGAAATCAGATGGTAACGTAAGAATATTGCCCGACATACCGTACTCTGAGCGCAATATCATACGAAACATCCCTAAAGAATCTCGCGAGAAGTTTTTCCGCGGAAGAAACATAATTGTCAAGGTATACCGGAAAATGCAGACCCTACTCAATCAAATTCTGACATCAGGGAATGGAAATTCATCAAACAGTCCTTGAGGCTCAAACACATACTGACTCAGCATGTGACGAGACTAGCCAAGAAGGACGGTGATCTTAGACCCGTCTAATGAAGATAACCTTCCCATCTTCCCACATGGCGGCTGCAGTTCTGGAAGCATTTCGTGCCAACAGACGTCGATTGCCACCTGGAATCCACATGCACCCGGATAGGCCATACGAAGCTAGGACCAAGAACAAAGGCAAGTTGGAGCTGACCATTCCACTTGTGGACTGTCTAAACGATAAAAAAACGTGTAAAGGACAGGGCCTACCACCTCGGCAAACCTCATATAGGTGGGCTACCTGTCCATTCACATAAGGTTCATACAGAAAAACAGGACGAAGCTCACGCGTTCCAAATTGAAAGCATAAACTGCTTATATATGAACGCCGCGAGTCTACCAAACAAACTGGATGAACTACGTGAACTTAGCAACGCTAATAAGGCCCATCTGATAGGAATATCTGAAACCTGGATATCTTCTCAGTTCTCGGACCAAGAGTTAGCATTACCTGGGATGACTTTGTTCCGCAACGACAGAAAAACAGGAATTGGGGGCGGAGTAGCCATATACATAAGCTCTTGCTTGGAGGTGCACCAAGTTCACAACCTCGAGTTTAACAATCTTGAGGAATCCATATGGTGCTCTGTAAGATTGTCTAGTACTTCGAGGTGTCTAGTCGGAGTCATTTACAGGAAGCCAACTGCCGACATCGAGTACGATAGTCGTATGCTGGAAGGACTATCCCGCTCTATCCGTCTCGGTTTCACACACATCCTGATTCTAGGGGACTTTAATCTCCCTAGAGTCAACTTCGCGGAACACACGTACACTGGAGGCGACAACTCAATTGAAGCTCGGTTCTTCAACCTCATCGATGACTTGGGCTTATATGAAAATGTGAGGTCGGCAACTCGTTGGAGAAACAGTCAGACACCATCGCGCTTAGACTGTGTATTCACTAACGAAGAATTCCTAGTCGACAACCTCTCAATCCTGGCTCCTCTGGGAAAGAGCGATCATGCCGTCATAGCCTTCAGTTTTGTCATCAAAACTAAGCTAAGGTATCCCAACAATAATTTGCGTTGGAATTTTAAACGGCTGAATGTGCCAGCTCTACATGACTATCTACAACAGGTGGTTTGGGATGTTCACCCTCAACTCGATGTGGATGGTCATTGGGACTTCTTACTGCACACGCTCTTATGTGCTACAAACCATTCAGTTCCTCAAACGGTTCCCAAAAGCTGCAAGCCACCTACAGTAATCAAGAACCGTACCCTTCGCCTGCTAAGCCGCAAAAGGCACTGTTGGGCGGAATACAAACGAACTAATAACGATGGAGCGTATAGGCAATATAAACATATCAGGAACATATGCACGAAGGCTATAAGAGAAGACAGGCTTCAGTACCAAACAAAGCTTATGGACAAATTCGCCTCTAACCCTAGAAGCCTATTCCGTTATGCAGCCTCTCTTCGTCAAGCCAAAACAGGAGTTTCTCAACTGCTAGGTCTTAACGGCCCGACCAACAACGATGGCGACGCCGCTAACCTTCTGGCGGCACATTACTCTCAAACATTTCAACCGGCTGACATCAACTTTACTGACGACAGTTTCATCTGCAATTCCACAGGACTTTCTGAAGTGGACCTAAGCGCTGACTTGGTGTTCCGGAAATTGCAGCACTTAAGACTAGACACTTCTCCTGGCCCGGATATGGTTCATCCTGCCATACTGAGGGAGGCAGCCTCAATCCTGGCAACGCCGCTTAGCGTGATGTTTTCACACTCGCTTAGCCGAGGCAAATTACCGGAAAATTGGAAGTTGGCTCACATCACACCAATTTTCAAAGGTGGTCGACGCAATGAACCTTCAAGTTATCGGCCGGTGGCTCTTCTGTCATTACCTTCAAAACTCATGGAGTCCCTGATATGCGACGGTTTAAATGACTATCTACTGTCCTTAAATTTCTTCTCACCCCAACAGCATGGTTTCAGGAAGGGTTACTCTTGTATAACCAACCTGCTGACTGCGGTGGACAGATGGACAAGCATCCTCGATCGCAAGGGAAAGGTTGATGTCATTTACCTTGATTTCTCAAAAGCTTTTGATAAGGTTAACCACTTGTGTCTTATCAACAAGCTCAAACGACTAGGTATCAAACCACCTCTAATCGATTGGCTTACTTCATACCTAAAAAATCGACACTTTAAGGTTAGGGTTAATTTCACTTTATCTCAGGCTATGGAATGTCCTAGTGGGGTCCCCCAGGGCTCAGTACTAGGGCCTCTTCTCTTCTTGATCTACATAAATGATCTTCCTCAACAGGTAACGTCAGACTTATTACTTTTTGCCGACGACGTGAAACTTTGGAGAGAGATACGCAACCAAGACGATATACAGGCACTTCAGGAGGATCTGACTCGACTTCAAAGTTGGGCAGACGATAACGGACTTACCTTTAACACTTCAAAGTGTAAAGTAGTCCATCTGCGACATGTCGCAAACTACAGTTACAACTTAGGAAACTCCTCTCTAGTAGTATCCCAAGTCGAAAAAGATTTAGGAGTCCTGGTGCCCCATGATTTAAAGTCTTACGCTAACTGTGACAAAAATGCCTTCCGAGCAAACCTTGCACTGGTAACGTTGAAGCGCATTTTTGGACAGTTTGACGGACGAACTTTCCACACAATCTTCAATAGTTTCATCCGTCCCCATTTAGAGTACGGAAACATAGTACTTCCCCCCTCACTCCAAAAGGACAAGGTCACTTTGGAGCGTATCCAACGGCGAGCCACGAAATCAGTTCGAGGACTCAAATCTAAGCCTTACGAAGAACGCCTCCGTTCACTAGACCTTTACCCATTAGAATATAGGCGTCTTAGAGGTGATTTATTAATGGCTTATAGTATTCTTAACACTTCTGGACATCCTCTTAAACACCTACTTAAGCTTAGTTCGAATAATAACCTAAGGGGTAACACCCAGAAACTGGAAACACAACATAGCAAGACGGAATGTAGACACAACTTCTACTCCTTAAGAGTTGTCAAAAGCTGGAATTCGCTGCCGGCCGAGCTAGTCCAAGCGACTTCTCAGGAGTCCTTCAAGAGGCAACTTGACCTATTCTTAAGGACCAAGGACAGCATCACACTATGATTTACCAATTTCTTTTTCCCTTTTTATTGTTAACATACCTAGGTTCCTGCCTGGAGGATTTGGTGATCCCCTGCTACTAGACACGGAAGCCTGTTAAGCGAAAGCTTCTTCTATTCCGTCCACAACCATTTGAACCATTTTAGTTACATTGGTTTATCTACTTCGGAGTTAGGGGAAGACTTTCGTTTGTTCTGAGATGAGATTAACGAAAATACTCATCGGTCTATATGTGGGCTCGTAATCAATTGCATTTGCATCCCGTTAGTTCACAAAGCATTAATACAGTAATTTCCACAGTAGTTTGACAAAACAGTTATTTAGGTTTTGTGTAGAGTGCGCAGTGGGATTATGGAACGGTCTAATTGACATACATGTATGCTAATCTTTTTGTTCGGGTACATATCGACTCACAAAATGATAAAACTTCATAAGGTGTGCTATATGATGGCTTGCTGACTAAAGTCATTGAGTTAACTAGAGTTGAACATTCACACTTGCGAATAACTAAATATTTTACTTGATCTTATATAGCAAATATTCACTTGTTATCTTGCTTACACAAGTTTTAATAAATTTTTTTTAGACTATCAATCATAGCCCAGATGTATAAGTTCTTTTCACCTTCTAAGACCAAGTTTCGCCAGCCTATTCATAAATTCTGCATTATTCACTCACTATGATAACATAAATTTTAAAAAACAATTACCTCATTTTCCTTCTTACAGATCTCATATTTCTGTGTTTGAATTATTTTTTCTTAAATCACAGTGTATATTTACTCTATTTTCGTCTAAAACAGGTATGGGATAAAAACATAAACTGTATAGCTTGAAAATTGGTTCAAATGCATCTTAGGTTGATAAAATAGATTAGTTTTAATTAGGAAACGGTGACAATGTGGTCTCACGAAGTCTTTGAGTAGCAATATAACTATGTTTGGAATGCGTTTTCTATACTTTGAGTACAAACATGTTGCTTCTGGACTGGTCAACGTTATGTGGATTAATCATTGCGAGTAAATTTAGTGGTCTGTTATGTGTTACTATATGACAAACATGGTCTTTGGATGTAGACATGAGTTGCAGTTTTGTGATCATTGATATCTTTGTCGCATTGCTCAGGTATCCTAGGAAGATTGAGTAAACAACATTGAGGTAAAACACAAAGTACTAGAGGAAGATAGGGAATCGTGTAGTGTGGTTAGAAATTTTTATCGTCTGAGGTAGTTGGGCATGTTTTACGTATGTCTAAATGTCATCTATCTTGAGGGTCTACGCTAGCTGTTGTAGGAGTAGGTTTGAAGAAAACTAAGCTAGGTCAAATGAGAAAGATGTATCAGTTCATAAAATCAATGATTGTTGGTCTGAGCCGTATTAGCAGGTACGGGCTACCTGGTTGGGGCCCGCCCGACAACCACAATTATAGGTTGGAGGCGTTAAGTAAAGTAGCTCTGAATTGGTCTTGGTAGAGCTAATAGATTTACTGTCCATCTTACTTTAGATTTTAAGTCCCAGTATTCTTTCATCCTTTTTTCATTCCGTCTCCTCAAACCATATCAATAAGTTAGCCTTTTTCATCATTACTGTTACATTATTTCTACTCGGCCATTCATACTTCTGATTTTATTTTGTCTTACTGATGTGGTTTGACAGCCGTACGTTGATTAGGACTAATTGGCCAACTGTTAACTGTTGTAAAATGAGAAAAGATTTTCGTCTCTTTCGCAAATTTTGGAACTAAATAAAATATGTGACAGTAGGGATAGGATTATCCTAAGTTGATAGGGAAATCTAATCAAATAATCAAAATATACATATAACCAATCAGTCGTCAATAATAATACAACTGGAAAGTCTTTGTTTATTTACGTTGAACTGCTCTTGTTATATTTCTGTCTAGAGGGTTAAGAAATTGTTCATATTTAAATATATTTTCTTAACACTTACGTATGATTTAGTGTTTCCTAATTGAAATATTATATCTTTACTTTTTTCGTGTAAAATTTCTCTTTATCATTTTGAAATCTTTTAGATAGTGTTTAACTTGATTGATGTTTAACATATTTGAAAGTAATAAAGATAATACAACTGAAGATGGAAGGCTATTGTATAACATTTTCAGCCTAGTTTATATTTTTGGAGGAGCGGTTCCTTATATTCCACAATATTTAAAAATTCGCAAAACACAATCTATTAAAGGTTTTTCCTCATTTGTTTGTTTTATACTTTTAATATCGAATGTTCTAAGAATATTGTTTTGGTAAGTTTTTCATTATTTCATTTACTTATTATGTTTTTAGTGGAATAAGTAGTTACCCCTTCTTTTTCGAAACCAAACTGAAAATCATTGGGTTATAAGATAATGTTTCAAGTTTTAAACGTATATGTTTTTTATAATGAGAACTGTTCGATAAGGTATACATGACAATTAGATACTATTAAGACGATAGTATATACTGTTTCTCCTACTAAAATCTTGGTTTTTAATGTTTCATCTGGGACGTTTATTTATTTACTTAGTACTTTAATATTACGAAAGATTGAAAGATTATTACTGAATATTTATTTTACAATGGACTCGATCATATAATCACAACCGTCCCGCACTATTACTATATTAGTGCCATATTTGGGTAAAGTGTGCTTCAGAACCCTACAAAGCTGGTCACTCCAAGTTTGTTTCTTAGTAGTAACAACATGACTTGAAAAGCATGTTTAACTTCATGCACTCGGCTTCAAGTTAAATTCTCGTGTGAAGACTAGTTTACCAAGTGACTCCCGATATATAAAGAATTGAAGTGGGACTCTAACTTCCAGAGATGACTGTAAGTTGATTGCTTTAATCACTAAGCAACTACTCCTAAAAACGCCTCTTATTATTATAAAACAACCTAACACGTTTGTTCATTGTGAATCGTATTCTGATTTTTTCGACATTTCAAGTACTAGTTTATTGAATTACAGTCAAGTGAACCATGTTCTGCCTGAATTTTTAAATTTGTTGTATGGTACTAATATGACGAGCATGAATCAGTCTGGATAGTCAGGCCTTAATTCGTTGGAGAATGAGTGACTTAAGAACTGATTTCTTCCAGTCACCTATGTTATTTTACTGTGCTATTTTTTATGTTTGTTTTATTTATAGGCATCTGGTTCTTTTTTCATCACATAAGCATGTTATTCCGATTGGTGGTCTTGTTTTTGATTTCAAAGCATTCAGGGGTTCACGTCAATAGTCAGGTCTTGTAAGCAGTCGTCACAGCCACATTGTATCACTCCATATCATCTGCCGATTAGGATTCTTTACCTTGACTAACAATCGAAAATTCGCTTGCCAGATCATTAAAATTCTAATCTGTAGCAAATAGTTCACTATATTATCAATTTAGTTTGTACCACCTGTGACTTGTTTCTTATTGTATAAAAGGAGTGATCAAATATAAATATATTGTTATACTTTTCTTTGCTTTGCAAGTATAGTTTATCTAAATAAAAAGTTGTACAATATTGAGGGGAGCAGAATACATATCATTTTAATAACATCCAGAAAGCATATAAAGGAGGAGCTAGATAAACGATAATCACGAAAACTGGGAATTTAGTTGGGGCCATTGTTTTTTTATCTCATTGTTTCATGTCGATGTATCTTCTGAATTTCTACTCTCTCCAATTTAGTGCCACATCATGTCAAGCTTGAAGTCACTTTGCACCATCTCTAGGGTATTGTTCATGAAGTTGCGGTACACTTATATACTCTCATCCAACACCTGTAGTTTATCTCACAGCGTCTTTCATAAGTAATTCCGTCTTTCAACCACTTATGGCGGTAGCAATTACTACTCATCGTGATAGTCTCTGATAAGGTAATGTCTCTACTGTTGTATTACTTACAAAATTTGATTATCGTCGAATTAACAAGAATTTCGGAGTGAACATTGACCTAGAATTCAAAGTTTGTTTTATTGGTCCATAAATAGAAAGCCTTAACCTGATCACAACCCAGTTTGTATAAACTCCTATGTACTGATCAGTTTAACCTCCCTTCCCATACATATCCATGCATTATTTTCTCGTTATAGGTTTGTACAGCCATTTTCAACCGCCTTACTTTTTCAAAGTTTCATTATCATTGCTACTATGCTTATTCTACTGAGAGCTATTACTCAGTTGTCTAGCATAAAGCGTTCTCCGTCTATGCCATGTACAATCATTATTAGGAAAGTAGACACAGAGACTTGGAATATCAATCAGTTCCAAGGTGAGTTGTTAAAGTATTAGAACGTTTCAAAATATTGGTTTTTTGTTTCAGTGATTTGTTTGTTTCAAATGTCTCTCGAAGATTGCCCTTGTTAATTGAGTTTTTACGTTTAGGCTTTTTTTTTTGCTTTCAGATGATTAAGTTATGCAATTGTATTCTTTTAATGATTGCAGAGTTGTAAATCATCTGGATATTGATTTATTTAATTTGGTTAAGTTATCGAACTGTATTTGTAGATGTATTAAGTGCATCTAAAAGTCTATTATAAAAATCTGTCCTTGTTTATTAAGTCAAATTCACCTTGAAAATGAAGATATGGACAATTGTTTTTTCATGTGATCATGAGGTTATTTCCAATCTTCGTATATTGACGATGTTTTATGATTCATACTGGAGACAATATGGGTCGAGTGCAGAGACGCCAGAAAGTTTTCTTGAAGTTGTCGTAGTAAAAAAAGGTTCTTGAACAGATTAATGATAAAGTGATAAAACGTCCGATTCAGTGCGTTAAGAGAATTACGGAAAAACATATAGGCATACATCTCAGGAATAGGTTAGAAATAAGCATTGTAATGATTTCCTTTCTCAACCTAATATCGGTTTTATCCTTTTTTATATGTATTTGAACTATCTCTTCCGTAAATTTCGTGAGTAAGGACCTTAAATACTACAGTAAGTAACCGAATTGTTACATGGGGTGCCCTCCTTGTGTTAAGCGACTGTACATCGTAGCATGAGTTGTTTGATGTTAGGTGTTTGAGAGTAGTCGATTGGAACAATTTAGTAGTATCTGTTCTGCTCTTGAAACTGTCGGCTGTAGTCCTATAAGAAACTTCAACATCTGATAGATGCCAACCAACAAATAACCGAGGTTCAGGGCTGTTTGACAGCCTCATATAGCTACCTAACAGATGGAGTAAACATAAAGTCAGTCTGTATATACACTTTCCACATTAAATAAGCCCATAACTAGCTAAAATATTTTCTACCAAAATAGGGTTAAGTTGACTGAATATACGCATTATTGAATCATTTCATGTTGAAGAATTTTAAAAGTAGTAACCATATTATGGTGACCTTTTCAATAGATTTCTATTGCTCTGATCTGTCGCTTATTACTTGAAGGAGATAGCCGATCACTCTATGGCATAAATTCTTATCTTTTTTTATAATAAAATGACGGCACATTGGTTATAGCATTCTTTTCGTTTAGACCATAAGTGGTTGGTCATGTGATTATGTCAGTACTGATACTAGTTAATATTCACAATGTTCGTGCACACTCATCTTAATATGCTTGATGATATAAAACATTAAATCGATCACTTTTATTATGATCAATATACAACTTTTAACTACATGATCACCTTTGTTTTCTGTCAGTGGATGGTGGATATGGCTATACGCGTAAAACTTCTCAAAGTTCTCATAGGCACCGTTATGCTTGGTGGTCAAAGCGTGATGAAGAGTTAGGAGCAGGAGCTATATCTGGTTAATCCCGGAAACTTCCAAGTCGTCCGAGCTGCTAACAGCTAGATGCGTAGTGTAAATGAAACATCCTATGTGGTTAATGGCACGCCGATTAATAATCTTCAAAGACACTTTGAATGCTAAGTAGGGTACTTTGTGGGTTAGTTTAGCTGGTTTCCTACTACTCAAACAGTATCAACAAACCTGTCCTGTTCTTGGAATGTGTCTATCAGTGCATCGAACGAGGCGGAGCTCCACAACGAACTCCAGCTTCTGGAGCATTCCTAGTCATTAATCTCAGACAACCAACCCTCAACCCTTTTCAACGATAGAGGCAAACATCTGCTCAGAGAACTTACCAAACCGTTTGAAAAGATTTAGCAATTTAAGAGCGTTTTATCGTCCTGGACTGAAGCGATTGTAGATTCATATCTTTGAGGGGTCTATTTAAAGGTTGCAATATTTTTGATGGTAAGAGTCTTATAATTGCATCTAAACTATGCTTCTAGAATTGTGCAATTCTTGTAAAAAACTGATACATGATAAGCAGATGAATTTTCTTTCGTTTTGTTCGGTCATTTCTGACATTTCATCTACATTGATCATTTCCTAGAGTTTACTCATGTTTGTTTGATACTGTAGTAATAGTCCGTTTAGTATCATGGTCTCAGATCATCGGGTTAGGTGGGTTATGTCATTTCAGCTGCTTCCAAACTGTGCATTAGGTGCTTACTCTAATACTGGGTGAAAAATCGAAATCACTAGTTCATAGCACATCACCGTGGAATGATAGGTTGTTGCATACGACTAGCAGCTATTAGCCTAATTTAATTTTCTGATTGGGTTTATTATGATAATGCAGCTCAATAGTCTGATATGTCAGATATAGGTTATAGCGAAGGTCAATGGTAATCTGGCTGTAGTTTTTTTTCACAGTTCTTATAAACACGAGAGTAATTCTAACTGTAAGAAGTCTTCTTTTTATTTTTGACTGGATTGTATATTTTATTACATACCATTCTTGTTTATTTGTTCATTAATAATATGACGTTCCCCGCTTCTATTTTCTCATACTGTCATTCTACATTGCGTAGTAAATTCTTCTGAATGCCTTTTACCGAAATGTTTATGTGTTATAAATAAACATTTATTCTGAGCAAATTGTTCATGCTTAAGATTAAATTATGTGGAAGTATGATTAATTCATTTTTGGAATAAGTTGTTTACTTTATGAATGGCTATTACATGTGTTGAATACATGGATGTTTAATCAAGAGTATGTTCTGTTACCTAACTTGGAAGACATCAGAAATTACAATGCGATTATTGAAGCCGTTTGGAATAGATGTAGCTTACAAATCCACAAAATCACTTCAATCAATCCTATGCAAACCAAAAGACTAGATGACTAAAGAACAAAAACCTCCCGTGATCTAAAAAATAAACTGTTCCAATCACTAAAAACGCTACATCGGGCAAAGTGGACAACCCCTTTATCTTTGTCTCCACGAACACCAATTAGCGGCCAAACGCCACGACATATCCTCGCTTATATCAATGCATGTGGACAACTGTAGATATATTCAACTGAAGAAATGTCGAGATCGTGGATAGAGGGAATACTAAAAACACCAGAGGGTTTTTAGAAGCCTGGCACTGAGGTCAATTAGCAATCACCAAATGCATTGAAATCGATCCGATCTATCAACCAATCAGAAAAATTACCAGCATATGGTTGTGGAAATCATGAATCAATCAATGTTAGACCGCTGTTGAAAACCTGGAAGCACTGAACGGCCGTCTCGTCATAGGATGAGACTCCTTAGCAGTGCTCGTCCACAATTCCGCGTGTGGGATCTAAGACTACTAATCTTTATAGTAGTGCTATAGAGATTTCCAGAGTGAGAAATACTTGGATTTATTGAAGCGTTAAGAACGAAATGAAAATTGTAAACTTTCGTGATTTATTTAAAAATCAGTATGTACATACTCTCGTGATATTGATTTTACTTTTAACATCATTATAGTATAGGTAATGTTGTTCTCTTGCATTATACACCTTTTTATGTTTTCCCATTGATTTATAATTCGGTCCTTTCATTTCTGTAAGTATCTTGACATATTAATTTATAATCATATTTGACAGAGTGTATTTCCCTTTTAAATAATCGAACCAAATTAACATTTTTGCTAATCTTATTTGGTTATTTATTTATCAAACCGCTAAACGTCATAAATTCTATTTCCTACTCATTGGATATCAAAAATATATCACTATTTCACTTCTAATTCCCATTTTAGTAGAATTGGAAATTTATTAAGAGGAAGTATTTAATTAGTAAGAATAATTAAATGAGTGAATGTATATTGTATCATTAACATTGACCCTAGTATTATTAATATCCCATCAATTTTAGTGTATTATCTTGCAGTCAACCGTAATAACGAGGAATTCCCTTCTCTGGTTTGTTTTATGTTTACATTTCGCATAGATATCTGGCTTCGTAATTTTTGGAAATGGACACGTTTCTCTAACTATTTATTATTCCTATGTTTATTTACACTGATTTCCGGTCTGTGCACTTACTTATTGTCATCGAGTCAAATTTATATTCAATTATTGGGCTTTACTGCCTTGTTTATCGAATCTATGTTGGGTTTACCACAATTTACGAAGAATTTTTATAATAAATCGATTGTTGGAATGAGGTAAGTGGTTAGTAGTTTAATTTGAAAGTTTTCATACTTGAAGACAGGCAAGTGAACAAACAGCCATATCGTTTTTCAACGACTCTCCTCTTAACGTAAAATGGTCCAAAATAGTCTATACCAACAGAATTTAATGGTGGTACGTAAGCTTCCAGGTGACATTCGGGTAGTGAAGCCGTAATCTGTGTGCACGGCGTAGTGTTGAGTTTCTTGCATAAGAAGCACCGTTTCAGGACTCTTTGGATAACAGCCTGAGCTTTAATGACCCAGAACTCTTCGCGGAGACTGTTCAGGGTGTGAGTAATACCAGAATGCGCGTTAAGACCAAGTCAGTAACAAAATGATTCCTTGGAAGTATAAGCGGATGTTTGTTTTCGAAGGGCAAGCACGATAATTGAAGTCATTCCTCTACTTGAATGACATCATTTATTACGAAGGGATTAAGATTCTTCATCGGGCTCCTACGCGCGACACTACTTCTCATTTTCTTACCAGCAGATATTAGTGGAGTGTCATTTCCTTATTCGAAACAGATTCATTATATCAGTCTTTCTTGTGATTCACATGTACTGCCGTGCTCGTTTTTATGCTGTATGCGCCTTAGCGTCTCCATCTCTATGGGGAATGAGATTATTTCAACCAATTTAATTATATTTTGCTTCGCACTATCAATTTCTCTCAATCTCAATCTACCATGAATTAACGGTCTTCCGTCTAATCTCATCCTCATATTGTGGACGAACCGTTTGTATAGAGCGAATATTCTAAGCATTTTGGACCAGGTCTTACAATTACTAAATTGATTCAAAAATTGGTCTAAATGACTCCCCGCTAATGTTTCGCCTAATTCTTCTGTAAACAAGTGGGCTAAAACATGGTTCTCCTCTTCGCATGAATTTGACCAGCCACTTTCGTTCTGCCATAAAATGTTCGGTCCGTGAAACCACTTTTTTATTTTAATGCTATCATCTAACGACAATCCACGCGAAGCATGATCCGCAGGATTCTGTTTACTTTTAACATACTTCCATTGGCTTGCTGTAGACAGCTCGTGAATCGTTGGTAAGCTATTGCTTATGAATCTCTCAAATCTTTTGATTGTATTTCTTATACAATGAAGTACGACCAATGAATCCGTCCAATAAGTGACAGAGATAGGGATGCGTAATTGTTGTTCCACGTGTTTTCCAATCTTAGCACGCAGTACAGCAGCTGTTAATTCTTCTGACTTCTTCATATCCCTTCTTTTCTCTTTCCAAATTTATTTCACTGGATTATACTCCTTGAATAACATCTATAAACCCTAATCTTTCCGATTACTGCTTATACTTTTACTACCTCTACCACTACGGGATTTGAATCGACAACTGCATCTCTATGCTAATGTGGTATGGCAACTCGAACTGATGTACGTACGTACGAAGTTCTACGTTGTTACTAACTGACTAGGAATGGTTATAGGTTTCAGTGGGCCAACCATGAACTTAGCTAATAGAAAGGAACAATGAATTTGACGGGAGATATCCTCAAAACGACCATAAGCCACAACACCATATGCAAATCCCGAGACATCGGCAAAGCAAGTGAATATGAGTACCCAGTGGTTTGTACGACTATGGTACGAGACATCTGGAAAGTAACAGTTCACTTATGCGCCTCATACTTCTGAGTTAAGTCCCATCTCATAAAGAACTCCCTAGGAAGCTCTGCGTCCCGTGCCAGATTGTACCGACAGGTATGTTGCAAAATTAATTTAGCTGGTAAAACAACGAGCTGTAAACCCAACTGGGTCGAATATAGAAGCTACATACGACAAAATGGTTCTCCTAGTATGAGTCGCATTGAATTCACACAACCTGAAGATCTTATCCGTGCAAATATTCCACTTTATTCCTAGAGTATTTCTATTTCTTTCCATAGATAAACAAATGTCTTCGTTTCTTTCTATGCGGTCTTCCTTTGGAACAAACTTCAATTATTCAACATTGTTACTGCCTCATTTGGTCAGATTAACACCCCCTAAACGTAACATTTCCTTCAGCTGAGAATATATTAATTTAGCTTCTAACGTATTAACACTGGTTGATAACTTGGTGAGGTCGCACCAAACAAATGTACTTTCATCTTAAAAGTTTCTGGTTCAGTTCTTATGTCACCCTGCGGCCACCATAAAAAAATTAAGGGCATCGCGATCCTGTGGCGGTACAATCACTTGATGAAACATAGCTTCAATATCTGCCGTGAGACCTATTGACCGTTGCCGAAATTTGGTGGAGACATCTACCAGATTGTTAACTAAATCTGGACCAGAATACAAGTTTTTGTCCAGGGACGTCCCAGCGTGTTGCGCTGCACAGTCGAATACGATTCTTAGCTTATTAAGTTTTTTGGATGGAAGAAAGGGTGGTGCGGTAAATACCAAACCCGACACCTAACGAAGTTCTCTGTAGCCTTTCCGGCGTAGCCCCGATCAACATACTATGCCATCACATTAACATATTCTATATGCAACCTCTGGTCACGGATGAGCCGGTTTCTCAAGGAATTTAATTTACTCATAGTTAGTTTTTTATTATTATGTAGGCTTTGGTGGTGACGCCAGGGCAAAGCTATTTGTTAATGCCTGTTCACTAATTGTGTAGATTTGGACATAGCATTTAAGGCTTTACGATCTTCAGCCGACATGGGCGCATGTTGATTCGGGTCTTCAAAGTCCATCTTATATAACTGGTCTAATCTAGCTTCTAGTTCATCTTTCGACAATAGATAATTTATGATACCCATATTTCTCGTGGTCTCACTGTAAGGTCCAAACAACGTCCACCCTAAAGGAGTTTTTATAGCGTATGGTTCGTTAGATTTTCCCACTCTCATTTTTATCTTATGTGCCTCAGGTACATTGTACCTGACGTCTTTGATGTCAACTCTTGGGAGGGTCTCACCGCAAGTAAGACCACGATGCCATCTGATATGTTGTTGATGCCGTCCCACGAAACATAGGTAATCTCTCGACTGTCCACACCTTTGAAATTCTGAGTGATGAAAAAGAATCTAAGGAGCAAACTTCTAGTTGGATCTCATTTCAATGAAATGGGGATTGGCTATCCAGAGTTTTCAATAAAAGTGTCTTGAACTCTTCCTGTGAACCCAACTTTCTAGCTAAATATTCTTTAATAAGCGGAGCGTCTGAGCCATTATCTAGGTAAGCGCAAGTGTGTACTTCCCTTTCTCCATTTTTTTTTACCAATACAGGTACTATTGCAAATGCTACTGGTCTCTCAGTACACGCTTAGCACTTTCCTCCGTACAGAGTTGGGTATTGATATGCACATTACTATTACTGTCTCCCTACTCTTCCCGCTTCCTGTTTAACAAGGTGTGGTGTCTCCAGTCACATCCTTCGACGGCACATGACCTCGGTGCCCGACGGTTTCTTGCTTTGTGGTTCGCCTTCAGACAGACACCGCACAACTTCTTTAATACAAACTCTATCCTTTCATTGATATCCTTATCTCTAAACCATTCATATTGGTCTAAGGGGTGGTTTCCAGTACATAATAAACATGACAACTTAAAGGTGCTTGATCTTACGTGTGGAGTGACATCAGACCCACTCGCGTTAGCGAACGACACTCGCCTTATACTCTGAATCAAGATTTCTCTTAGTAACAACAGCCGACTGCCTTTTGTTTCGTTAAGAACGATCTTCACTGACAAGTAATCCGTATCTGGTATTAACAATATCCGACTGCTCCTTCACAAATTTGTAAAGGTCCTTAAATTAAGGCTCTCTACTCTTCTTAAGAATTCTGCATGCCACTTTCGCCCATTCTCTTTGTAAGTGTGGTGGGAGTTTCAAAAAACATACTCTCGATAGCCTTTGTAGAATTCAGATCGGATACATAGTTCATCTACGTGAGTGTTAGATCACAAATCTGCATCTCACGAGATAGTCTTCTTAAATTATCTGCATCTTACCAATAAATGCATGAGATACGATGTGCTTCTGACCGAATGCTTCCTCGAGAAGCTCTAACGCCTTACGATAGCCTTCTTTTGGTTCGAGCAGTACACAATGAACAATAGTATATTTAGCTTTACCGTTACAATACTGAATCAAATAATTTAACCTAGATCGACTTTCAACACTTACATCAAAGCAGCTTACGAAATTCCGTATGAAACTCCAATATTTCACGGGATTACCGTCAATCATGATCTCTCTTTTTGGTAGGTCCATAACTTTAGATATCATTGTTACTCAGTCCTTTCCAGGAGGAACATCAACTGCACGTTGGGCAGATGTAAACTTGTACGACGTCACCTTGTCAGCCACAACTTGACTATAATGCTCTCTCCCCTTTTGACATAACCTTTCCAACTCAATTTCTCTTTCTGTCTGAGCTAAGTGTACTTTAGGTAATTCTAACTCTAACAGGGCATCCGTTCGGTAGCTGTTTTCTCGAATCTTTGTAGGATTTAATTTGTTCTACAGACATTCTGCTAGAACTGCAAACGTGATACTGGCGACCCCAGAGTCTATGTGAAAGCTATGATCAGAACAAGGACAACTTGGCTTTAAACTTTATCTGTTTTTAAAAATGAAAACAATTAGATTAGTACAATAATTAAAGGAATTATAATCATTAAGTGCAACGCATAAACATACCGACCAGTATTGCGTGTCTTATCGAAATGAATAAAAATGAGTCACACTAATATAATAGGATAATAATGTCCTTCAATTGGTAGGTTATATGCAACGGGATAGTCTACAGACACATCAAACCAGATTGACGTGGTGAGAGCTTAAGCAACAGTCATGGACATAACTAACACGAAGTTCTCACTGACGTTTATTATTGTACAAACCTTTTGATGAACCATCTAAAACTTTCTGAGCCAGAGACAAACAGGGATACTAGATTGAATCCTTACAAAGTAGATTAAATAATAATAAATAGAGGCTACCTACCACACTTCCTTGAGTTGTAGCGTTTGGATGGGAGGAAAACCCGGTGAACTTTATGGATCAGTTTCGGTGGTTTCATTACTACATTAATCTAAGTGAAGTTCAAACAAACAATGGAGTTCTACTTGTATGGATTTATGTCACACACATGTCTAGCTCTCAGGAATGTAATGTTAACACTAAAAAAAATAAATTATAATAAATATTGTTTTCATTTCTTGAAAAATATCAACCGATTAGTTGTTCGGGATGCAGGTGATCTAGATATCGAAATTAATTATCTGTTTATAGTACAGAGCACTAAATCACATATAACCCTGATCTTTCACGACTGTCTTATTAAAACCTAAGAGTTCATTTCCTGGTTATCGATAAATTTATATTTAAAATTAGTTTCTATAAATCTTACTCAATTTTGAATATGTTTCACCAGTAATTGTAACATTTTGGAAGAATCAATATGAATTCTGATTGTTTCTGGCATTTATCGAACTATCTTGTGAAATTCCCTTTGAATGTATATATATATATATATATATATATATATATATATATATAATTATAATTTAATGTAATAGTATAGAATTCTAGAAAAATACTGTTTAGCTAATTAAATCTTAATCTAACTGTCCTAGTTTACGTACTTTTTTTTTGAAGACTCATTCATTAAAGTTTGCCTTTTAAGTTGCTCTTTATCGTTATTGTTGATTTTGTTTGGTTGCTTTTCACATTAAGTAAAAAAAGATTCTTTTTAATGGACTAATTTTGTTTCAATTTATTTATTCTATTGATTACATTAGCAACTCGTTGAATTTGAATTGTGTGCAATTTAATCGATTTTTAATGCTGTTAGTTGATCACATTTAAATGTATGCGGATTTAATTATATGAAGGTAATTTTCGTCATGAAGGCCTTGGAAAACAGTGTCAGTTGTTTTATCTGGGTTAAGGATCCCTAAATAACTTATACATATTGTATCGCACGACATCTAACAGAGAACGATCGACACTCTGTGATTTACACCATACCTTTGGCTGACTGAATTAGAGTTCAATGTCGATATTTCCGAATTCAATCGATATCTGAAATAATTAAGGTAATAAGTAACTTGTTTGTCAGTTAACATTTTTAGATACCTTAAAAAAGGTTACCAGTCCGGCTCACGATTAAATACTGTTTTTTCTTTGAATTCAGTTAATTGATGGTGTTAAGAAAGGAATAAAATAAATGAAATTTATGCATTTTCAAATGCAAAACTATTACAATGAAATGAATTAGACAGAAGATGACTCACAAATCTTGAATAGTATAATGAAGTATAGTAAGATAATAATCAGGAGTATTGTATAATGATAAGAATGAGGACCGTGATAATGAAAGCGCGTGTACCAAATGTTCGATTAATTCTGAAAACTTAATAATGTTATTATTTATTTATTTGAACATATAAACATTGGTGCAAGAAGGCGCTAAATACATATGCACCACACAGGAATGATGGTGTGAAGCGACAGAGAGTGGGGGTTGAGTAAGACAGTAAGACGATATCGTCCGCATCTTCAAGGTCGAAGTCTTTCTCCAGGCAGCAGATTCGCACCACCATTACCTACATCCATCGGAGCTGTTTCCAGAACGTCATCGATGGCAAAGTTGAAGAGGAATAGTGAGATCGAGCAACCGTGACTAAACATGTCAAATTGATTTAAAACTTGCATATCTCTATCATCATTATCAGATCTACAAATTTGAAATCTGGGAAGCTTTTAGTAGTCAGACTGTTGATCATGATTTGATTGATATACGTTAGTCGCAAGTAGCATGGATGATTTAGTCTCATATCATGTGTCGAGTTGTCAAAGATTTCACTTTTAAAGGTTAGAGAACTTGTTCCACCAAATCTTTAGAAGTTGATTACTTTTCATTTGTGACTGTCAACAAATTGTCTTAAATTTAACATAAATTCAAACTGATATTATTATCTTTCATTTTTTTGTCATCTTCAGTATTTCAATGGTGTTAATGTGGACTTCAGGTGATATATTTAAAACAATTTACTTTATATTAGAAAATGCCCCATTACAGTTTCTAATGTGTGGTTTACTACAGATTGGATTAGATTTAGCCATTCTTCTACAATGTTTATTTTATAGAGGTGAAGGATTTACGTGATATGAATGCTACAATTGATTAAGTCAATATGGACAGCGAAGACAGTGGTGTCAGTTTGTATGTGATTGTGGATTGTAAAGTTACTTTCTTGTTTATCTGAAATATTTATCATTTTGTACTTCGGTTGTAGAGAGATCTTTTCTATTCCAATCAATCTCACGTACCAATTCTCTTTTTATTTTGAGATCTCATCTAGGTGACATTGTATATTTGTCTAATTTTTGTGATTGTTCACTTTTGTATTTTCTTTGCAATTCTTATGTATTTCAGCTTAAAGTAAACTTGGAGCGATTACTATAACCCTCTGATTATGTCATTTTTGTCAGATTGTTCGGTCTACTATATGTGATAATGAAGAGTTTATAAACAGTTAATAAATTTATCGCTTTGGGATCGACGTTCTTCTGTTTCACTGATTAACTTAGCTTTTCTGTAGTATACACATTGAACAGCTGTTATTTATTGACAAAGATCATTCATTAAAGTCGACAGCTGATGAGTGTTTCTGATTAAATGAAATCCATAAATTTGAAAGTGTAATTCTAATAGCAAGACTTGAATGTTTAGATGATTAGGAAGGAATGAATTAAGTTTGATATTTAGGTCATAATTTCATCGTCAGTTGAGTGACCCGTGAAATATGTACCATTCAGTAGATCATCTTCCAATTATCTTTTTATCATGTTTACTCTTTTGTTCAACATTTCGTATGTAGGGATTTTATGTCAACAATTGATTGGCACTGATTTCATCAATTTTAACCATCTGAAACTCGTTCACCATTCATGATTAATCCTGATTCATTCGTATCCTCAGCTATGTTTACACGGTGATAAAAAGCCTTGAACCAAGATTAGACAGGTGTCTAACGTTGTCTCTTAATCTTTACTATTTCTCCAGTCGTGATATCAGTTCATGATCATAAGGTGATTAATTTGTCTACCCAAAAACTAATCGTTAAGTTAGGGCAGCCACTAGTGTTAAATGATTAATTTATGGTTGTCTGCTTAGTTAGATTAGATTTCTGTATTCATATAAACTTAATCAATTATTGGTCGTTTCTGGCTAAAACACACTTCTGAATAAACAATTTCTTCCGATTACTTCATTGAATATGTACTGCTTGTGGAAAACAGTTATTATGACTGCTTAAAAATTGAATGACTAGTTCATCCACCTAACCAGGGATTATCGACCATTTAGGTCATTGAACTAATCACAGATTATATGAACTGCAAAAGATATATTATTCGACGGATTGAGCTTGTCTCGTTTTATTGTTTGTCTGAAGTTAACAAGCCTCGAAAGCATGCGTTAACGATTGAGTGAAGGAGCAGTTTATGTTTGTAATCCAGTTATTGATATAGATTGTCCGTGCTATGTGGGTTGTAATTCTGCTTTGCTTCGGGCACCCGGGCAGTATCCCAGCCCTCACACAAATCGAATGATTTATGTGGCGCATATCTATTTGGTGCCTCCTTGTACCAATGCTTGTGTTTTCAAAGTAAGTAGATGCAATAAAATGAATTCGTTGCTTTGATTAGCTTTTAACTTCGCTTGGACCGTTTAATACAACAGTACATAGAGAGTAGTTAGGATGGATCCAGTCAACTAGTGAAATTTGGGCTCTAGCGTCGGATGGAATATTGAAAAAATGAACGTAAACTTTATGGTGTTTTTGAATTTATAAGTGTAAAACCTAACCATTTTGATTAACAAATGTAAAGAAGTTGATGAAGTCATGAATTCAGATTTATGGTTTACATCATACACAAATGACTAAACTTGTCAAAGTTCTAATCATAACTTTCGCTTTTTGATCGACATTTTAAATAGCAAGTCATAATGATACGTGATGTTTTCAAATTACTGGATTAGACACTACTAGAGTGACACTAAGTGAGAGAAAGCGAGGACTTATGAACTTGGAAGGAGATTTATATTAATCAGAACATTCAAAAATGACTGCGTACTGAATGAAATAGGGTATAAAAAAAGTAGGAAGTGTGTTAGAATACAGTAGATTTAATGAGTAAGGTTATTTATTATGATGTGGAACCAATAAAGTATTTATGAAAGGAATTCCGTATACTCTTCATCTAATTGTCATGGTTTGTAATAACTGGTACTGGATGGTGCGTACGAACGGAAATGGATAACTTTCGAGCCAATGACATAGTAGAGGTCAGTAAGGAAGCATTCAGTTAGCTACAACATAGGACCAGGCACATATATGCATCGGTTCAAGTTGCCATACCTCATTAGCACAACAAGATGAACACCGAATTCATAGAAGTACTTAATTCAGTGATAGTAATATATGAAAGAAAGATTGAATATAAGGGTGTAGTACAGAATGAAAGAATTAGTTCGTAGAAAGAAAGGTATGAAGCGATTTTAATCTCACGGTTTAAGGGAGGACAAAGTGTATACACTGACACCATTGTGATAGATTCTAAACCATATCATCCAGAGTCTCCAACCACTGGTTACGATAGTCACGCGGACCGCAACCAAGTAGTCTGCATCTGTTAACATGGCTCAAACCAGAAGTTAGTGACTTCAAGCACTGATGCCACGTCTCGGTTTAACCACCCCTAACTTTCTTCCAACCATTCCATACACTAGTCAACATTGCGTGTCGTGGTAATCGGTGTTCAGGCATACGTAACACGTGGCCCAACCATCTCAGTCGATGAAGATTCACAACCTCATCAATTGATTTACCATCATCATTCCCTAATACCCTACGTCTAACCTCACTATTACTTACCTGGTGATCCCGGCAGAGGCGAGCTATATTTCTAAGACATCTGTGATCAAGTACTAGTAGCTTACGAGTATCTTCTACTCTTAATGACGACGTTTCACAGCCGTAAAGTAGAACAGAGCGAACTGTTGCACAGTATACTCGTCCTATAATTGATAGTCGGATATATCTCCTTCGCCATAGGTGACTTTTATTTTTGAAGAGATTACGAGTTCACCTAATCTAAGAACGGAACAAAGACTTTGACCAAAGACCAATAAGCTGACGCGTCCCAGCCCAGTTAACTAGAGAGAAAAAGTCCAAGTTCGGGAGAGGGAAATATACTCTACAAGCAGTCAGAAGCACGAGCAATCACAAGTCTATTCCGAAATACACATTTATATATTGATTCATACACCCATTTTTTATTAATAATTACAATAAAATCACATATATATGAAAAATACTTCATACAAGAATATCGTTTATTTTATTTATTTGAACACATAAATATTGGTACAAGGGGCACCAGATATATATGTGCCACACAAAACAATGAGAATGGGAAGAGAAAAAAGAAGGTAAGGTGCGTATAAGAAAAGAAAGGAAAAGAACAGATTAGTTGTAAAAAGTCATATGCTGAGAATAGTTCATGTCCACTGAATACAAGAATATCGTATGTTATACAGAATAAAATATCATACGGGAAAAAACACTATTGGGTAATCATCACACTGAATTAAAACGGAAGTTATGTTGAACAAAAAATCGTAATGAGTAAATCAACCTAATTTTGACTTTTCATCCCGTCATATCAGTGACGTAAGTTAGCGGAAACCAAACATCCCAAACATCCTGGCATTGCTGCTCAGTGCTACCAAAAGACTCGGCATTGTATCAGCATCTTCACCAAACAGGATTATGTCATCTGCGTATTCTAAGTCGACAAGTGAACCTCCTGGTATGAGATCAATGCCCGAGAATTCAGTCGATGAAAGCGTTATTTACACCAGTAGTTCCATGATTAAGTTAAGCAAAAATGGAGAAAGTGGACAGCCTACGGTCTACGGAGTCAAATGCTACTTTTAAGTCAAGAAAGACCACGATTGTAGGTCGCCGATAAGTATGCCTATTTTCTAGAACCTGACGAGTGGTGAATATGTGGTCGATAAAGCAATGACCAAGTCCAAAGCGAGCCTGATTTTCTTATGTTTGCAGTTCACGAGTCTTTATTGAGGCTAGTATTTTAGATGCTATGTTAGTCAAACTAATCCTTCTATGGTTGTCACGGGATGATTTTAACCCTCTCTTATTGTGACCAGTCAAATGGGATAACGTCCAACTCCCAGATCTTAGCTAAAATATTGGTCAACCTAATCGCTAAATTTGGACCTCTGGAGCCAATCCATCTGGACCAGTTGCCCTTCCTCGTTTCAGATTAGCTATAGCCTTCTGAACTTCAGCTAGAGTTGGGGGACCTACTTCAATGTTCCATGAACACTGTCCGGGAATGGAGGGTAGTTATAGAGTGGCGGAAGGCCGGCTGAACTGCTTATTAACGTGTTCCGCCTGTCCTTCTTCACATCTGGGCTGTGACTTCTTAATCCCAGTTTCTTTTATTAGTCTGAAAAGCTGTCTTGTGTTACCCACAGCTGCTGCCTTTTCCATCTTTTTCGTTGCCCACCGCAGCTCGCGATCGTTCCCTAGATATTTGGTTAACCTAGATCTGATTTGTTTTCGCTCTTCAGCGTGTTCGGAGCCTGATGGGACGAGTTTATGAAAGTCTCTCTGTGCAATAGATGTAGCAGAAATCCACTGGTTGTTCGTGACCCTTTGGTTCAAATCACCAATAGATGTCGCTTCTGTTTCCACAGCTGTTTGTATGTCTTTCCAAGCAACATCTGGTTCAGCCTCATTTTCAGAACTATCTAGGTGTGATCTCAGTTGTTTCTGGAACCTCTTTTTGGTTTTCTCGTCACTCAATTCAATTCTAATGGGTCTTTTTAATGTGGCTTTTCTGCGTCCAGTAAGGTGCAAGCAGATGCATGCCCGTATTAGAGCATGGTCGGAGTCCAATTAGGTATTCCAGAATGAGCGACAACCTTTTGTCGGGCCTCTCAAACGATGACTGATGGCAATATGGTCTATTTGAGTCAATCGTTGGTTTGGTGCAAAACGTCTCCAAGTTAGACGATGTCTCTCCTTATGCTTAAAATTAGTACTTGCTAAAACTAAACAATTGTCTGAACACAGTTGCAGCAGACGGTCACCGTTATATGTTCGCTGAGCCAGAATACCAAAATACCCACTTAAATATCTTTCTGTTGGGTTTAAACTACCTAGCAGGGCATTAAATTTACCTGCTACGAGCACTATGTTTGAGTGTTTAGTTTTATGAAGAATTCCTGTAAAAGTCATCTTTCACTTCATCCAGGTTGCAGTCAGTGGGAGCATAGGCAGAAGCGACGAAAAGGCAACGACGTGTGTCCATATCCTTCCGAGTTCTTACTGAGCCGTTTAGCTGAACAGTACATAAACGACTGTTATTGGGGATCCACTCTATTAGTGCTTGTTCTGCCGTCGTACTTAGTGCTATGCCTACACCTGCCAGTCCACAAGAGCTAGCCATCGGGTCTCCAGATA